GGCCAAGAGGCAGTAAGTGAAGTGAGGGGGCTGCAGATCCAGTCCCCAGATGCAGCATCCCAGTTTTCCTAAATGGTGGCCAGGGTGGGGAAGCATCCTTGGAGCACAGCAGGACCCTTTGGGTAAGGGTGGGAAGTAGAATGACTTCATCACGGAGCTGCCTGGCTCACTGCTTAATCTTTTCACAAACAACCTTGTTCTTGTTGGTATTCCCCTTTCTTCTTGGGAAGTCATGTGGAGTGCTGCCCTGCCTTCCTTGAACTAGGACTCATCTGACCCGTGGGCTGTGTGTGCAGCATGGCTGGAAAAGTTCTGAGCAGATTCTTGGGCTTAAGAAAGCAGAAATCTTTACCCCTTGACTCCTTGATGCAGTGGATGGTTGTCTCCTGCACATGTTGTAGATGGCTGAGGCAGGGGCTGGACAGCTGCCATCTGTGGTTTGAGGAGAAGATTTGCAGGATTTGGCACAGAGGGAAGATTGTGTTTCATCACGAGTGCCATTTCCAGCTCTTCTGATGTGGCACTGGGGAGATCAGCCACCCCCTGCTTGACTCATGTTTGGATGACACCTTCAGAGTTGGGAAATAGTGTCCCATCAGCCCAGGGGGCTGGATGAGGGGAATCAGAGCTGGGCTTGAATGTTCTGATGCATGGGGTGAATCTCCAGCTTCCTCCTGCCCTGCAGGTGAGGGGCTTTGCAGCTCTAGCAGAAGATACCTGTGGAATAGCTGAGTGCTCTTCTAGTCTCAGACCACTCTTGGTTCCTTGTCTCACAGGAGGAGGAGAAAACCAGCTGATGGCCAAGCAGCAATGGGCTTGGAGTTGCCTGTTGGTGCTTCACTGTGATTCCACCACTGAGGCAGAAAGTGATTTAGCACTGAAATGTATTTAGCCAAGTGGATCAAGCTGAAGAGTTTAGAAGTCCTTCTGCTTCCTGTGTTTCTTTTAACTTGATTGTAAAATAGGCTGCTGATTATTTAAAGTAAATTTCACTTTGGAGACCTACAGCATTTGGGTTGTGACAAAGCAGTAAATATTTATTTTAATAGACCTGTTCCCATTAGAGCAGTCAGTTGTTTAAAGGAAAAAAAAAAGAGATATGAAAGTATTTGTTGATCTTGGCCTTTACAGAGGAGTTTTGATTGTGCCTCTGTTTGCATATCTGCTGTATTGATGGTGCTTTAAAGTGCTGGTGCTGTAAGCAATTGCCAGATAAAACTGTCCCTGGAAAGCCAGCAGGATCCCTGGAGGAATGCTCTGAGCTGGGTGGAGTTCACCTGCAAGGATTCTGTTGTTCTGGTGGGTTGGAGGCAGGCAGGGTGCAGCCCTTCATCCTGCAAGGAAGGAGCTTGGCCCCAACTCCACACCTCATGGTGTGTTCTCTTTGTCATTCCCTGTTCTCCATGTTCTCAGGTCCTGGCCATGTCAAGTCGTTCCTGGCTCAGTTATTCCTACCAGTCACGTTTCCACCTGACTCCCCTCTCTTATGAGACCTTGGAGTTTGCATCTGGATTTGCTTCTGAGCAGTGCCCAGAGGGCATTGTAGCCATCTCCACCAACACTCTAAGGTAAGGGCTCCTGGGGGAATGCAAATAGCTCCATCCAGGGAGAGGGGAGGCTGGTGGGTTCTCACTAGGCTTTCAAAAGGAAAGAGGTAAAGTGGCTTTAACTTCAAGGGGCAATGGGCACAAACTGCCCCTTAACTTGAACAGGAGGTTCAAGTTAAACATCAGGAAAAACTTCTCTAATGTAAGAGTAACAGAGCCCTGGGACAGGATGCCCAGAGAGCTTGTGGAGTCTTCTTCTCTGGAGACATTCCAAAAGGACAAGGAGCTCTTGAGAGGGTCCTTAGGAGGCCACAGAGATGATGGGAGGGCTGGGGCAGCTCTGCTCTGGAGCCAGGCTGGGAGAGCTGGGGTATTCAGCCTGGAGAAGAGAAGGCTCCAGGAAGAGCTTAGAGCAGCTTCCAGTGTCTGAAGGGGCTCCAGGAAAGCTGGGGAGGGACTTGGGACAAGGGCAGGGAGGGAGAGGACAAGGGGGAAGGGATTAAAACTGGAAGAGGGAGATTGAGGGGAGACATGCGGAGGAAATTGTTTGGTGTGAGGGTGGTGAGAGCCTGGCCCAGGTTGCCCAGGGAAGCTGTGGCTGCCCCATCCCTGGCAGTGGTGAAGGGCAGGTTGGATGGGGCTTGGAGGAACCTGGGCTGGTGGGAGGGGTCCCTGCCCATGCAGGGGGGTGGGACTGGATGATCTTGAAGGGCCCTTCCAACCCAAACCAGTCTGGGATTCTATATGATGGGTTTTGGAAAATAAATGGAATACAAGAATAGTTAGACTGTCAGAAAGAAACAGAGTCTGCTTCTCTGATCCTCAGGGAAGGAAGTTTTTCATAAATGTGAACCCATCATGTATTAGGAGCTTGTGGTTTGGGATCTGAATTGACTGCAGAAAATAAGCCACGTGATGGAAGAAATCAGGCATGACAGGGGTGTGTTTGTTGCCTTTTCAACGTTCAGCTCAGATAGATATGAAAAAGAGAAAGCAATAGCAGGGGGCACAAATTCAGGAGCTCTGCTTTATGCACTGGAACAGGCTCTGTTTTCACATCTGTCCTCACTGAAATATTCCAGCATTCATAGCTTTTAAAGGAGTCATTCTTTCTTGAGAAACTTGTGGTTTTTAGGAACGAAATGCCAGAAGAACTGGCATTTCAGCTGGCAAGTGACAGGAGGAAAGAGCTGGCATTGTATTTTTCATACTGTCTTAACTGAAATGTCTCTGAGGAGTTGAGGTCTCTTGATTGTGTCTCCAAGCCTGGTGTCATGTTGAGATTCAGCTGATGTGTTCCCCAAACACACTGAGGGTTGTGCAGCCTGGTCTAGTGGGAGATATTCCTGCTCTGAAAGCAGGGAGCTTGGAACCTGATGATCTTTCAAGTCCCATCCAACCTTCACCATTCCAAGATTCTATGAAACATTCACCTTTCCTCCATCCACGTGCTCTTTGTTCCTCTTGGGTTAGACTTGTTTCATCACCAAGCTGTAAAGCTCAGCTCTGGTTTTGTTCCCTTAAGACAGTTGCTTTCAGCCCTCCTTCAACCATATGTGACATCTTTTGTGTCCCCCAGGATTTTGGCACTGGAGAAACTGGGGGCAGTCTTCAACCAGGTTGCCTTCCCCTTGCAGTACACACCCCGGAAATTTGTCATTCACCCCGAGAGCAACAACCTGATCATCATCGAGACGGATCACAACGCTTACACCGAGGCCACCAAGGCCCAGAGGAAGCAGCAGATGGCTGAGGTAATGGGGCTGGGAGACAGGGACACTCACCTGGTCCCTGTTGGGGAATTCTGCAGCTGGAAATCCTCCCTGCGTGCTGGTTCTGCCCTGGTTTAAGTCACAACACCCAGGAACCAGCCCCGTGGCTGGTCGCTCAACTCCCACGCACACACTGGGATGGGGAGGACAAACCCAACTAGAAGCTCTGGGGTCAAGATAAGAGCAAGGAGGGTTCTTCACTGGTGAAGGTCACGGGCAAACTAGACTCAACATGGGGAAAAATCATAATTGAATTTCACACCAGTCAGATGCCCACAGGACACAGACACACCCAGAGCAGGGCTCACATACATTATCTCCATCCTTGCCTTCTTCCTGGGCCCAAATCACTTTCTTCCCCATTTCTCTCCTTCCCCACAGGGGCTTGGGGTTGGGGTTTAGAGTCAGTTCACAGTCTGGTGGTTCCTGCTGCTCCTTCCTCCTCAGAAGGAATTCTTTACAGTCCCCCCCCACGGGGTCCCTCTCATGGCAGAGAGTCCTTCACAAACCTCTCTTCTGTGAGTCATTCCCACCAGGTCTGGAGCTGCTCCAGTGCTGTCCACAGAGTCATGGGTGCTTCAGGAACAGGCACCTCCCCTGGTGCAGAGGCTTCCACAGCTGCATCATCCAAGCTCACTGGCAGCAAATCCACATCCATCCCTCCTGGCACCTTCAGGGAATGTTCCACCACATTCTTCCATGAATGCAGGGGCACAGCTGCCATCTTGCCATAAGTTGCAGGGAAACTTCTTGGGCACCTTCTTCCCCTTCTCCCTCACCAACCACTGGCACCTCTCTCCTCTCCAGCTCTACTCTTCTCCAGCTGCTTTCCCTGCTCAGCTCTTACCTCAGTTCCTTTGGATGTTAATCCCAGATGTGCATCCATTGTCTCTCTAATGGCTCTTTGACTCACTAGTTTTGGAGGTGGGGGAGCTCTTCAGTTTCTTATCTGAGCCACTTCATGGGGCCCTTTTCCCACTACCAAAAACCCTACCAAACCAGCCCGGGTTCCCAGCACATTTTTGTGGATGCAGGGACTGGAGGGAATGAAAGATGTGCCTCAAAAATACAAATCCCAGCAGGATGCACCACTTCCCAGTGCTCCTTTCTTTTCCATGTTATTACAGAACCACATAGTGGAGAGCAATCGTGCTTGTGTAACACCATTCTCTGGATTTTCTGTCACTGTTGGAGGGTGTTTGGATTTCAGTGGGTTCTTTTTCTTGTGCTGTTTCCAGAGTTGTTGATGCAGAGAAGCAGCTGCCCTTTGGGCAGGGCAGAGCTGGAGCTGCTGTGCTCCAAGCTGCAGAGACTTCCTTGGGAATGAGCTCAGGGCAGGCAGAAGGTTTGGGATTTAGTGGCTTTTATGTCTTCACAGACCATTCCTGGCCTGGAATACCTGGAAAACAGGGAAGATACTGGAAAGGAAATGCACTGAGCTGTTCTTTTCTCCTGTATGATGTGCTGTAGGAAATGGTGGAGGCTGCAGGTGAAGATGAACGGGAACTGGCTGCAGAGATGGCTGCAGCCTTTCTGAATGAGAACCTTCCTGAATCCATCTTTGGTGCTCCTAAGGCAGGGAATGGACAGTGGGCCTCTGTTATCAGGGTGATGAACCCTATCCAGGGAAATACATTAGATCTGGTGCAGCTGGAGCAGAATGAAGCTGCCTTCAGGTAAGAAGCATTGGCAGGTGCAGCAAGAATCCCTGCTTGTCATGAGTCTTAACATGTGTTTTTTCCCTTCTTGTGCTCAGCTGTTGCTGAGTTGAACTCCAGGTACAGCATGTAATCAGGAGACTGGCTTGAAATTCTAAAAGGGATTGTGTCACATGCTTCCAACCTTTGTCTTGCCTTTCCTTCACTTCCCATCCTTATTTGTCTGCTTGTGACACCCTGAGCTGGTGCTCCAGATGTGTTTGCTGGACCCCAGTGCTCAAAGAACAACACAAGGGTGTAAAAGACAGATAAGAGAGCTGGGAACAAGAGGATGTGCTGCCATCTCCCTTCCCCTCTTCCCCAGATAAACTGAGCATAGATTAAATGGAAAGGAAGTGTTAGAGGGACTGGAGGGGAAAACCAACACAATAACAAGAACAGTGGGTTCCTCAGCAGGTGAAGAGGAGTTAGGTCATGCCCATCCAAAGGGCTGACTCTGCCCTGTTTTGTCCAGGATTCCCAGCCTGGCTGAGCTATGCAGTGGGCAGGAAATAACACTGGAAGGTGAGGAAAGTTATATGCACATGTCCAAGTTGGAACAGGCTTTGAAAAACAGCTTCTAGTGAAGCTTTGGACTCTGCTGGGCAATGTCCAGCCTGTGAAAGCATGAAAATAATGCCTGAGGGTTGGAACTAGATGATCTATAAGGTTCCTTCCAACCCAAACCATTCCATGATTCTATGATAGGTGACAGCTGGAGCACATCTTCTGGTAGAGGGAGTGTGGAAGAAGGAAGGAGTTGGCATTAAATGTTCCTGCAGGGAGGGAAAATGACCTCTAAACATTTAAATGTCAGTGCTGGAAGGTTGGGCTCCCAAACCTCTGCCTGGCTGGGGGGCAAGTGGTGCTGTCAGGGAGTCCAGTCTGTGTGGTGCCCACCCTGATGTCCTGGTGTGTCCTGTCCTTCCCAGTGTGGCCGTGTGCAGGTTCTCCAATACTGGTGATGAGTGGTATGTGCTGGTGGGAGTGGCCAAGGACCTGATCCTGAACCCACGCTCCGTGGCTGGGGGGTTTGTCTACACCTACAAGCTGGTGAACAGTGGTGAGAAGCTGGAGTTCCTGCACAAGGTGAGAGGGGTGGCTGGGGCACTGAGAGGCAGGGTGCTGGGGTAGCTGTTGCCTCACCCCAAGTGCTGTAGGAATATTGCAGGACAGGGTTGTCGTGCTGATGTTACACACTGGAAAGAAGCAGTCTTGGAGAAAACAAAGAATTTGGGACAGCTTTTGGCAGAGATGAGGATTGAACACAGATCTCCTGAGAGTTCCAGTCCTTTGCCTTAGCCCTAAGCTTACCCATCTAATTGGGTGATTGGGAAAGGAGCAGTGTTTATCCAGGCCCCTGTTGGGGAAGGGAGAGCAACAGCTCTGTTTCCTTTTGGATATGAGCTCAGACCTGCTCTGAGCCCTTGTTTATGCAGTGAATTCATCCTTGGGCCCTGGTGCTGAGACTCTCAGTCCTTGGCTGGCCCCACGAAGCTGGTGTGAGCTGTCATGTCTTTGGTTGGGTGTAGAAGTGATTGGTCACCTAGTGACCAGTTTGCTTGACAAGTCTCTGGGGCTTTAGTGAGGGTTTTGGCAGAAATCAAGTTACAATTCTGTTCTCCTTTCCACGTGCTTCCAGCAGGGCTGAGGTAGGAGAGATGAGCATGTGGAAAGGAATGTTAGGGCTTATTCACTTCATACAGTCCTGATGTAATGAGTGGGATCTGTCCTGGACCAGGGCCTTTCCTGGTGTCACTGAACACCCACGTGGAAGTCAACAGTGCTGATGGTGTGAAACAGCTTCTCTCAGCCAGTGCAACCAAGCTAGGAAAGCTCTGTGTGTGTTGCCATTCTCTGCTGGGGCTGATCCTTCTGGCATGGTTGGTGGTGGGAGATTTTTTCAGCCCAGAGTTACTGGAATGGTGGGCACACACTGTAATTATTCCCACTTCCTTCAGTGGCAGCTTCAGAGCATCTGTCACAGATGGCTGAGTTAGATGAAAGCATTTGTTTTAAAAACAGAGGATATGGGTGAGTTCAGGATGAAATCTTTCGCTTGGGTGTAAATCAAAATGAAGAACTGAGGCAACAAGATCCTGGTCTTCTTTTGCTGCCCACCTAGTCAGGGGGTTCTTCCAGCAGTCTTTACCCTTCCCTGAAGGTCCTCTTCTGGCAGTGAAGTGCCCAGAGCTCTGTTAGCACCATGTGTGCTACACTGAAAGGCCTCCAGAGGACTTTGACCTCCTGTAGAAAAAGGTGGTGATGAGAAAATGTTGGAAACCTTGGCCCAGGCCAGCCAGCTTCCACTGGGACTGTTTGCTGAATCCCTTCTGAAGCTTGCTGGAAGGTTAGCTCCTAGTGGGGGAGGTCTCACAGTTGTCCTTTTCTCTCTCCAGACCCCTGTGGAGGAGGTTCCTGCAGCCATTGCTCCATTCCAAGGTAGAGTCTTGATTGGAGTTGGGAAGCTCCTACGTGTCTATGACCTGGGCAAGAAGAAACTGCTTCGGAAGTGTGAGAACAAGGTACTGGCTTTTGGTTCCTGGTCAGGGCTGTGCTCTTGGGGTTGAGTGATGCTTTGCAGTGGAGGGAAACTGGGGTCTAGCAGCTTCTCCAGCCCAAGAGTGTCTGTGGACTTGGACTTCATAGTGCACTTGGACTTAAGGGAGACCTTGTCACCATGTCCCAGCCCATAAAGTGTGGCTGCCAAGAGGATGGAGACTCTTGTTTTAAAAGGGGTCATATGGAAATGACAAGAGGTGATGGGAACTAGTTAGTCCTGGGGGGATTTTGATTGAAATGCAGAAGAACATTTTTCACCCTGAGAACAGTCAGACATGGGAATAATCTCCCAGTGGAAGTGGTGGATTCCCCCACATTGGACAGTTTTAAGGCTCAGCTGAACAGGGTGCTGGGGCACCTCCTTTAAACTATAGTATTACCTAGCAAGGTTGGATCAGATGGTCCCTGAGGTCCCTCCAGGATTCAGAGCTATGTCTGTGCCTTGCTGGGTGCATCCACCTGGAGCAGTGCTGGGGGCTCTGGTTGCACTGGACTGTTGTACCTGCCCCTCAGGCATCACATGGCTTTCCTGCCACCATTCAGGCAGTGGATTTGCAGGCTCCTTTTGTACCAGCTCAGTGCAGGCTGCTCATGGACACCTGCAGGAGTTCCACAAGCCTGTCCAAACCTTTGGCCACCTGCTACAAATGAATGTGTCTTTTCCAGACACAGAACAGCTTGCTGGAAATGTTTCCTTAGGTCAGGTGATCAGCAGGCTGGGAACAGAAATTGGAGGGTGCATGGGATCACCTCTTCAGATCCCCAGACTCTTGAAAAGGGAATTTTCTCCTTGAAGCAGATGATCCTTCTTGCTGAGCCTCTGCAGTGCTCCAGGAAAAGAAATTGCAGAGCAAGTTTTTCTAACTCTTAATTTTCTGCTCCTCCTTCTTTTGTGAGCTGCAAAACCTGTGCCAGCTGCTCCTGGCTGCACAAAGGAACTCCAGCAGGTTCACAGGCAGGCTGGGAGCTTGGAGGGGAACATTTTATTTTTTTAATGTGTTGAATGTTTTTTGTGTTTAATTTGGGGGTTTTTAATCCTAAAATATGATTTGCCTGAAAAATGGGAACTTTCCTCCTTACATCTTCTACGAATGGTGCAGCAAGGGGACCCTGAAGCAGTGCCTGCTTGAGAATGTCCCTGGCATCTCAGTTCCCAGGTCCAGTGCTTCTCTGGGCATTCCTTGTGCTCAGCAGGGTGAGGATGATGTGTGGAGGGGGTTGGGTTGCAAGGCTGGGGCTGCAGGGTGCCAGAAAAGAGGTAATTTAAAAGGAATGATGACAAATGGGGAATGTGCCCCAGTCCTTAGGGAGGAAGCGTTTTGAGTTGGAGTAGGGTAGAGTGAATAGGTTACACTTCCTGGTCTGAAGCACTCAAGTTTGGACCTTTCTCTCTCCAAAGCACATTGCCAACTACATCTGTGGGATCCAAACCATTGGGCACAGGGTGATTGTTTCAGATGTTCAGGAGAGTTTCATCTGGGTACGTTACAAGAGGAACGAGAACCAGCTCATCATCTTTGCTGATGACACCTACCCCCGCTGGGTCACCACAGCAACTCTCCTGGATTATGACACTGTGGCTGGAGCAGACAAGTTTGGCAACATCTGTGTGGTGAGTTTGTGCCTCAGAGAAGCTGGGGGTTTTGTTGTTATTTTTTTTTCTGTTTGGACAAGATTTATTTTGCCTTCAAACATCCATGATTTGTCTGAAAAGAATGAGGATCTGTGCTCAGCTGGAGGCAACGCCCTGGACCACTCACTTGTTTTGATGGGGTGGTTCCTTGTCAGAGCCAACTGCTGCAGTTTATCAGGTTGCTCATGAAAGCCCACAAGTTAATGCACAAGCAGGTCAATAAAATACATTGCTGAAGCATTCAATGACTTGTGTGAAAATTGCCCCCAAACTTGCTGTCAGTGAGCCTTGAAACAAAGCTTGTGGCTGTGAAAGGGCTCAGGAGAAGTTGTGTCAGGGTTATCACTCTTTACTTTCACTGGCATTGAGCTTTCCCTGTTACTTCCTCTCAGAAGTTGGCTTTGTCAGTGCTGACACTTCCCCACTTGGCTGCATTTCAGCAGGGGAGGAGGAAAGAATAGATGGTCTTTCTTGCCAGAGCTTTGATCTCTCCCTGAAGTGTGCTTGGGAGTGCAGAGTTCAGCCAGTGGCTGACACTTGCTGCCTGCAGGATTTGCCTGATGCACAGGAATCCATCCTCTTTGGTTTTCCTGCCCCCCACATCCATCAAACTGTTGCTTTAGTGGGAACCACCTTCAGAAGGTTTTGATGGTACCTCCCAGGATGCACATGCTGAGCCAGGCAGGGACCAGCCATGAGGTCCTGCCTGTGTTTCTGAGTCAGTCATGACAACATGTTGTCCTCTAAAAGTCTTCTTGGAGTGGCAAAGGAATGATTTTGCTGTAAGCATGAAGTCCTTCTTGTAGAGCCCACCAAAAGCAGCCTTTCACAGATCCCAAGGGTTCTCCAGAGATCACCTCCTGCTTCCCTGCAACTTGTTGACTTTTCCCACACAGGTGAGGTTGCCTCCCAACACCAACGATGAGGTAGATGAGGATCCCACAGGCAACAAAGCTCTCTGGGACAGGGGCCTGCTGAATGGAGCATCACAGAAGGTAACTCTTCATGGAAAGGGCATGGATTTTGTGGGAAAAGAACACGCTGCTTTTCTGGGAAGTCCTCTGCAGTGTTGTCCAGGAGATGTATTGGCAGTTCTGCTCTTACACATCTCCTGTGATCAGTTTTCACTGTCCCTGGGAGCCAAATCCAGCCTCTGCAGCAGGAGCTGTTGGCTGGAAGCAGCAGGCTCATTTTCTTCCCCTGCTTTCCCTCATTACTTCCATCCATTTGTCCAGCTCCAGAGGGTAGTTCAGCAGCCTGCTGAGTTTTGCCATCTGGTCACAGGTGGAAGGCACTTCCTCTTTGACAGAGGCATTTCAGAACTAGCAGGTGGCCAAATTTATTCCTCTCTCAAGCCTTTTGATGCTTTTCTCTGAGCTAAAGAAAAAACAAAACAACCAACAAGCTTCTGTGCTTGATTTCCAGGCTGAAGTGATCATGAATTACCACGTGGGAGAGACAGTGCTTTCCTTACAGAAGACCACCCTGATCCCAGGAGGTTCTGAATCTCTTGTCTACACCACCTTATCAGGGGGGATAGGGATCTTGGTCCCTTTTACTTCCCACGAGGTGAGCAATTCCCATCATCATCCTGCTTTTCTGTGTGCTCATCCCAGGTGGATGTGCTGCATCCCCTGGGGGTAACTCCAGGGCTCTGCAGTGCCTGAAAATCTGGGGCTGCAGGAAAGGCTCTGAGGCCAAGGGGGAGAGGAGGAGCCTGTTAACTCCTCCTGCACTGGCTTGGTGAGGAGCTGAGTTCTTGTTCCTCTGCTCTTCTAAACACGTTCATGCTCCAGAGCAGCTCTGGGGTGACTTAGTGTCTCTGAGGAGGGATCCTTTGGTGTGCCTTGTGTACCCTGCCAATTACTGCTCAGGCACTGATGCTTTAGGGCCTGAAGATGATCTTCTTGGCCTCCTGGAGCAGCAGATGCCCAGACATTGACTGTTGGAGCTGCACAGGTCCTGGGAGGCTGATCCTGGCTGAGTTGGCTGCTTGGCTCTGCCATGGGTGCTCCCAGGCTGGAAGTGGTTGCGGGTGTGACCATGACCTTGGCTGCTGCTCCAGCTGAACCTGGTAACAGCAGGGCTCCAGCCAGGGGCTGGTGGTGCCTGACACCTGCCCTTGACTGTTCCCTGACCAATTCTTCCATCTCCCTAGGATCATGACTTCTTCCAGCACGTGGAGATGCACCTGAGATCTGAGCACCCTCCTCTCTGTGGACGAGACCATCTCAGTTTCCGCTCCTACTACTTCCCGGTGAAGGTAGGGCTGGGTGTTTGGGACTGGGGGTCCATTTTGGGTTCTTAACCCTTCTCATGAGCCTTCTGAGAGCTGGTTTGGAGCCCCAGAGATGCTGCTGCTGTGCTGCTTCTTGCCACAGCACCTCCTTTTCCATCAGAAGCAGCTCTTGGTGTGACTAAGTCAGACTGGGTGTTGCCTGGGGGATGATTTTTTTCCCACCATTGAAAGGGAAATCTGATAAGAAGTGGCTGTTCCTGCTTTTGAGGAGCTCTGTTTGAAGCTGTTACTTCTGTGACCAAAAAGGGTCCTGAGTGCTGTGGACCAGAGTCACCAGTTGGTAACTACTACCAGAGGAACATGTAGCATGAGTCAAAAAGCTGTCCCAGCCCTGTCCAAGCACAGAGGGTGTTATTCCTGCTCTCGAGGAGCTTGGGGGCTGGTTTGCAGGGTGCAGAAGCCTCCAAGATGTCTCACATCTGCCTGAAGGTGCCTTTTGGTCACCTCCTACAGCCCTCCCAGCGCCTGGACATGAGTCACATCCATCTTCCCTTCAGCTGCACCCAGGCTTTATGGGTTTCTCCTCTGTTAATCAAGCTGACCACTAATTAATTTGATGCTAACCACTGCTATTCAGAAGCTGAGGTCACCAAGCACGGCCTTGTTTCCAGGACAGGATTAAGAACCTCCTGGGAACAAACTGTTGCCCTTTCCCCCCCCCCTCCTCGAGGCAGTTCAGTGCCTCTGTGTGGTGCCCATTCACTCCCCTCCTCCTCCCCCCTCCAGAATGTGATCGATGGGGACCTGTGTGAGCAGTTCAACTCCATGGAGCCCAACAAACAGAAAAATGTGGCTGAAGAGCTGGATAGGACCCCACCTGAGGTGTCCAAGAAGCTGGAGGACATCCGCACCCGCTACGCTTTCTGAGGGCTCTGGCCTTGGGTTTTGGGGTTGGTTTCCCTCCCTTTTCTGTTGTTTTTTGTTGTTGTTTTTTTTTTTTTTTAAATAGTTGTTTTCTCCTCGTGGTTTTATGTTTCAAAGTTTAATGTGAATGCAGCATCATGTGAAATCTCCCCAGCACATCCCACTGCTCTGTGTGGAGGCTCCTGATGGTTCTGGGTGGGCAGGGAAGGGGATTCCCTCTTGGGAAGTGCCTGAGAGCCCAGGGGGGTGTCTTGTGCTTAGGGCAGATCCAGCTGAGCCTCCTTAGGATGCAACTTCCCAGTTTTTTGGTCAAGGAAACAGCTGTTGCAGGCCTGGGAATTACCAGGCTCCTTTTAGTAGCCCAGTGGCAAGAATCTCTGGGCTTCCAGTAGCCCTGGGAAGCCTGGCTGGGCAGGGGGTGTAATTGGCCCTGAACCTTTTCTTCTGAATGGCGAGGGGGGTGTTTTTGGATTCACCATTTCTGAACTGTTTTCCCTGTAAATAGAGTTTTGTACAATGTTGACTCTCTTGGGGGTTGGGGGGGGGAGAGAGAGAGAGAGAGAGCAGGGCCTGTGGCTGGGACTTGATTTGTTTCATAATAACTTTGGCAAGAGCAGCGTCTGGGCGCTGGGGCTGCGAGCAGCACATGAAGAATAAAAAGCCTGTTTTTTAACGAGCCTGACTGAGCTCTTCTCCTTCTTCTCCTTCCCCACCAGCTGTGCCTGACCTGGGGGTGGGTGGAGGAGGGGACAGAAACGTGCACACCCCTCAACCCCTGTACCCTGCTGTTGGCCTCCCGAGCTCACTCCCAACCTCCCTTCTGGAGCTGGCAGCGGGTCCTGGGACTCGGAGCAGGGAGAAGGGCTGGGAGGGAAGGGTCTGGCCCCCAGCTACTGTTCCTCCAGCCCTTCCAGGGCACGGCTGCGGCTCAAAGCTCCTCCCGTTGCCCAGAGGAGCTGCTGTGGCTCCCGGAGGAGGAGCCGGCTGCACCCAGGACAGGCAGGGAAGGTGCTCCTGGCTGTGCAGGGCTCCACAGCTCACCCACCCCCAGCAGGTGCTTCCCGTTCCCTCTCTGCTCCCTGCCTGTAGTGGAGCCAGAGCCCTCCCTGGATGTGTGACATCCACCGAGGGGCCTCACCTGGCACCTCCTCCCCGGGGGGGGGCTCAGGAAGGGGGGGGGGTGGTCCCAGCTTCCTGCTGCATCCGCAGGGAGCAGCTTCCACCTTAAGGAAGGTGAGGGTGCTCTCTCCTGCCCCCTCCTTGGCACCCTCCCTCTCTCCTGCCCCCTCTTTGGCACCCTCCTCTCCCTGCTCCTTGCTCCTTTCCCCAGGGCTGTGCCCTTTGGCTCTGATGTGGCACCAGCTGCTGCCCCACCCCTCCTGGGTGGGGGGTGAAGGGGCCCCTCTGCCCTGCCTGCAATTCCCTGGGAGTGGCTCCTTTGTCACCTCCGGTCGCTCCAACCTGCCCTTGGAGGTGGTTGGGCACCCTTGGAGCCCTGGGGGTGCCCACCCCTTCCCCGTGCTACCCCCATCCCCTGGGAAACCAGCAGCACTTCCAGGAGAGCTCCAGCAGGGCTCAGCACGGCAGGGATGAAATCCCACCCGCAGGGTGGTGCCTGGGGAAGGGTCTTCCCAAACTGCCTTCCCAGCACATGGGTTTCCTTCCTCAGCCTGGGTAAATCCTTTGGGAAGGGCCGCAGTCCGACCCGGGAGGGGCTTAGTCCCAACCTGGAGGAGCCGATGGGCAACCCTGGGAACCCCCAGGCCCCCTTTTCCCGGGGGTCTCCAAAGCTGAAGGCCCTGCCAGCCCCTCCCTGGGGCCGAGGAGTTTCCCCTGGGGAGGGTCCTGCTGTTTGCCTTGAGTTCAGCCCAGCGGTGATTTCCCCGGGGGAAAAAACCACCCCCCTCCTCGGGCTGTGCGAGCTCCACGTTTCCCCTCCTCTTCCTCACCCTCATCCCGCCTGCCGAGCTGCTGCCGACGTGGGCGAGGAACGCTATTGAATGGCTTCCCCCTCCTGGCAACGGATGCGGGCACAAATCCTTGCGGGAACACACCTGGGTGTGTGAGAGAGGAGCGGGAACCAGCTCCTTCCCTTGGGCTGGGAGAGGAGCATCCTGACCCCAGGGCTGGGGAGGGGCCAGGGCAGTGCCCGGGAGCAGGGCCTGGG